ACCATGTATTATGGGTGAACTTTACGGTATGCAAATTACACCTCAATAGAACAGTTAAACAAAAGATTAAATCTTTCAATTTTCAAATGTTCTCAACTAATTCAAATTCTTAAAGGGCCTATGTGAAAAAAAAATACCCAAGCCCGCGGTGCAAGCCCTTGGACTGCTGGCTTGCAAGCTCATCGCTAAGTGGTGTGAATAGAAACCTGAATGAAATAAAAGCCTTGCCCTCCTGGAAGTTAAGATGCAAAGGGAGAAAATGGAAGGGTAAACCGTTACAAAACCCCATGATATTTTATGTCAATTATACCTTAACTTATGAAAAAAAGAACCACCACATGATGAACACAAGTGGTACGTACAGGGCGGTCTGGGTCCAGAGCACCCCTGGCTCAGGGAGGCAGAACAGAGGAGGGCACGCGGGAGCTGGGCTTTGAAGGGAAGGTAGAAACTCAGGAGGCTGCGAGTGTAGAAAGTGGAGCAAAGGGGTGGGTGACCGTTCCAGGGACGGGAGGGGCCAAGGCTCGGAGATGTGAACAAGCAATTCCCTTTCTGGGAACCAGGACGGCTGGAGACGTGGTGCACAGGGAGAAGAGAAGGAAGGCAGGCAGGGCCGGGCTGGAAGGGCTTGGCAGCCTGCGTTAGCGTCCGTGGACAAAGGATCGGGCAGGATTTATTTTGTTGCAGGAACACAGACATGGTTCTTTTGGCCCAAATTAAACTTTGTATATCTTGGCAACTTCCTTTCGGGACTCATTTAAGAAGCATTCTTTCATATACGGCTTATCGTGTGCCAGGCGCTGTCCTAATAATCTATGTAGACTCACTTAGTGCCATCAGCAGTGGCTCTCAAACTCTAACTTGCATCTGAAGCATGTGGAAGACTTCTTGAAACAGAGATCCTGATTTAGTAGGGCTGCCGGGGAGCCCACGGGTTTACATTTCAGTCCAGTTCCCAGAAGCTGATGCTGCTGGTCCAGGGAGCACACTTTGAGAACCACTGCTTTACGTCAACCTATTAAGAAAGGTATCATTATCCTCAGCCCCATTCCCATGGTACAGAGGAAGGCACAGAGCCAGTTAAGCAACCTGTCCAGGGCCATGTAGCAATCACGGATGGTGCTGGGACTTAATGGCAGGCAAAGTCTGCCTCTGCCATGCCTCCTAGTTCATAGGTGGCAGACGAGCACAGTTAACAGCTGGCACTTTCAATTCCTGTTTGCAATTATCAAAAATATATTACACACACACATACAGGCCTTAACTGACATCTGAGATAGAAGAGTTAGTGATGCTAACCCCTACCCTGGGGGGGGGCGGGAGGGAGGAGAGGGGAAGTCTTTGAGGAATTCTTTAGTCCATTTCAATGCAGCAGTATTTTGGTCCTATTGGGATGACACCAGGACTTAGAAATGCAAGAGTGTCAATGTAAAAAATGACTACTTAAATACGTACAAGGAGGTCACTGCATAAACTGTCACAACTCAAAACTGAAGTGCACGTGAATGCTCAGTACCTGTTGTTTTAAATATATTTAAATGTTTTACTATATTGTGAAAACTGACAATAGCTAGAGAAGATAACCTTCCGACACGTGCTGCCTTGGGGCGGGGGGGGTCCCAAGATAAAAATGGGAATTCGTTCATGAATCTGCTTGCTTTCCACATCTTGATCTAATTTGTAGCATTTCCGTGGTTTCCCTCCAATAAACAACTTCTTTCTTAAATTGGTGGCATTATGTTATTTTTGAGATCTGAATCACAGAGACTGTAACACCAGCCTGCATGCTCCATCTTGTTTTGCAGAGTGCTGTATATCTAATTAAAGATTCCTACCAGTCCATAAAAAGACCTAACATTAAAAAAGCACCTTGTGTTGGAGACAGCCCCCGGGCCAACCGGAGAAGGGGTTTCTTCATTAACAATAAACACATTTGCTTAAACTCAAAATTAAGTAATAATGCATTAATTTGCACTGGAATATTTTTAAATATTGCCTAAGCATAATCAGATCATGTTACCACATTCATGGCGTGGAACCGAAAATGGGTCATGTTCTTGCCAGCAGCACTCCAGCTTCTCAAGAAACACTGGGGATGAATAAGTGATTTACCACACAGCCAGTGCTGCATCCCTGCCTCTGGAAGAGTTGGCGCTGACTTTATTTAAGCCAACTTACTATTCTGTTCCTTTTCCTTTATTGTCTTGCTAGTCTCATGCCCTTGTTTTCCTTACAGAATGTATTCAAAACCAGAGTTACACAGCAGCCGTATACATACTCGGTCTTCCAAGGGCTTGTCTACGATGGGCATTGTTTTGCGGTTACTGTTACAGCTCAGGGCTACAGACCTGGCTGTGGAGGCCCTCGCCGCTGGCGTTCCCGTGGGGAACCAACCATTAGACTGTCCTTTTCCCCTGTGCATGGCTACAGGCTTCCCTGAACGGTGGGCTGCCCCCGGCAGGACAAGCGCTGGGCCTCCCGGGCTTCCAGCAAAAAACCAAGTTAGCAGCTCTTGCTTAACGTGCTGCTAGAGTTAGAAAGTCAATGTCAAAGTGAAGTTCTTTTTTTGTGGTCTTTTGAAGTCAGAGTGATGCTAGAGTTGGGGCCTTGACTCAGGTCAGAGGGGCAGAGGCCCACCCTGAGGCTTTCCCCAGCCGATGATCCATCAGGACATGCCAGGGCACGAGGGTCACTGGGAAGCCCCCTCGAACAGAAAACCCGAGGCCATTACCCTGACGGTTCACACCTTCCAACAATCCGCTTTTTCTTCCCAACGGCCTTCAGACATGCGAAGCTGATGTTGTGGAGAGTCTAGAGAAAAAGGCTTCTCACATTTGCCAACAGAGACATTTGCTAAAGCCATCTAGAGTTGTCTTCTCCATCCAATGTAAGCAAACTTGGAGAATCTAAGCAGCCTTTTTTTTTTTTTTTTTTTTTTTGGCTTGTGTCCTTTGCTAGCAGTCCTTTCTTAAGGGAGGGTTTGGGAAGAAGGGAGAAACAGAAAGGGAAAGGCAGGTTGGTGAACGCTGGCATCAGGCATGTGGCTCCTTTCCACGAATAGGAACTCCACCGAGCACCAGGCTTCCACCTCCAACGTGCGAGGCCCGAGGCCCGAGGCCCGAGCCCTGAGCCCTGAGCCCCGAGCCCCGAGCCCCCGAGCCTCGAGCCCCGCTAAGCTCCATTCCAGAGCTGAGCCGTCAGTGTCACAGTTAACGCCTGGAGTGTACGCATCCCTGACTTCATTTGCTTTAATACTTCCCACAACCTTTTGCCTTTCCACAATGGTTCCTGAAGAGGCAGCCTGGCCTGGCCGGTGTCTCCCGCTGGCCTTTAAAGCCCGCCTTGCATTCAGATGCTGAGCTCTTTTCTCCTTTTGCTTGCCGTATTTTGCCGTGTATAATGCGCTCCCGTGTATAATACGCACCCATGTTTCAATACTGATCCCCATGTATAATTCGCATTATCCACGGGATTTAACACTACCCGTGTATAATGTGCATCCTTATCGTCCCCTCAAAAATTTGGGCAAAAGTGCGCATTATACACGGCAAAATACGGTACACAGCAACAAAATCAAAATTGCTTTAAATTAGGTTCCCAGGGGGAAAGAACTGTAGAGGGAAAAGAACCCACACTCCATGTGTATGTATACATATATATATGAATGTATGTATACACATATATGAATGTGTGCTTGTTTTTCTTTCCTTGATTAAACCTGCATGCGAGATGGGGTGAACCTTTAAAAGGGTAAAGTGCGTGCTGCCCTCAGCCCCGAGCCCAGGGAGGCAGAGTCCAGCGCAGGCTTAGTCCCCTCCCTCCGGTTTCCCTAGACAGCTCGCGCTACTTTTCTCGGCCATTGTCCCCCGTCCCTGGTGCTTCCTCCTACACCGTTCCCTCTCCTCCTCGGGCTTCTCGCCCGCCTCCTACCGCCAGCCGCAGCCCAGACTCGCCGAGGTCGGGACGCTAGCACGATGCCCTCCAACAGCCCGCGCGCCGCTGCCCGCAGGTGCGTCCCGCCCCTCCCGCGACCCCGCCCCGGCGTGCACGTCACAGTGACGGGCGGCCCGCGCAGGCGCAGCTCGGCCCCACCCCTCCCCGCCGCCGGCCGCCCTCCCGCTCGGTATTATGATTAGCTCTGGGTGCGGGGAATCGGCGGCCGGGAGGGAGTCGTCGGATCCGCGGCCGCTGCAGACGGACGCCCGCCTGCGGGCTGAGGTAGGGGGAGCGCGGATCGCGGCCAGGCACGGCGGCCATGGGCGGGGATGCGGGGCGGGCCTCCGCCGTTGGTACCTCCGCGGTTGCGGGGCTGGGAGCCCGGGCCGGGGCGCCCGCCGCAGGCGGAAAGTAAGTTGCGCGCTCCGCGCTCCCTGCGCCGGCGGCAGCGCGGGCCCAGGCGGATGCGGGGCCCGGGCTGCGGCGTCCCCGACCCGGTGCGGCGACGACGCGGCCTGGCAGCGAGGCGGCGGCGGAGCCCCCGGCGGGAGCCGTCACTGCGGCGACCGGCCGCGGGCGCCCGGAGGCCCTGCCCTTGCGGCCGCGGCGGGATTGCGGCACCTCGGGAGGCGCCCGCATCCCCTCCCCGCCTCGGAGCGGGCCGAGTGCGGCGGCCGCCGGGGCCCGCGCCCCAGCCGGGTTCCCCGCGCCCAGGTTCTCTCGCGCAGTGTGTATTCTTCTCCGAATGTGTTTTCCTTTTTCAAACCAATCTGGAAACCTGGCCGCAGCAAGGGGGTTCCTCGGTAAAACTGCAGCCTTACAATAGAATGGGGATATTGTTGTCAGTAGAGAAAGGGCAGTGGGGTAAGGAAGGAGGAGCAGTGCCGTCCCCGAGGGACAGCTAGAATTTTTCACGTTGGGAAACCTCTGTACCTTTCCGTAGTCATCGCCTGTTGATTTCTTTCTGGACCATTTTACAAAAAACCTACTGCCTTTTACTTGGGCTTGGGATACAGGAAAGTGGCAGTGTTTTATTCTGGGGGGTTCGTGGAGCTGTGCGGATCCTGCCAGTTGGGTCAGATACAACCGAATAGCTTCATAGGGAGTTCGGTTCCAGTCCCTTTTCGGGGTGGGGGGGGCACGCAGAATTTGTCTGCAGCGTTCTTAAATCTATAGATGTCTGTGGATATAGGACCTGTCAAACTGTCAAGTTACTTTTCCCCCCTCCATTTAATTGAGTGCATTCTCAAAGTCTTCGGAGCCGATGTGAGAGCTGACTTAATGCCTTTCTCATTTTATGGTGAAAGGTGAAGCATGGCTTTGCGAGTGATGGAACCCCAAATGTTGGGCATCCTGTTGAATTTCCACCCAATTCCTATCAAACATCAGATTCCTCAGTTTGGGTTCCTTCTACAGAATTGGGACAACTAGTCCCAAATCAGTCTGATTTATCAGAATATCTATCAGTGTACTTTAAAGCCTGGGCTTGTCAAGGCTTATGTAATCACTTTGTTAATTTATAATCTTGTTACATTGCTTTCCAGATTTATAAAATCATTCCCTTCAGGAAATCTGTCTTCAACGTCTGCTTAAATATTTCTCTTGGAATTGGATTCCTGAAGAGGAATGTACTGTACAAGTGGTGATTAAAGCATACTAATTAGACAAGTGCCTTTTTAAAAAGAAGTATTGATTTTTTTATCTGACTATCGAATTTTCCCTGTTAGGAAAGCAGATGACATTCCCATTTTACAGAACTAGATGTAAGAGAAATTACGTGACATTCCCAAGGTCATGTATGGAAGCAGTGTAGTAACTGCAAATCAAGCGCACGGTGTTAACTTTTCTTAATACTCCATCTTCAAGGCTTTCTGGGCAGGAATTTTGAGTGCCACCTTTCTGTTTTGTATATTTACACAATCAGTTTTTTATTTTATTTTGTGCACAGAAATTACTCTCACCTTATTAATTTTTTACTATTTTGAGTGACTTTATCGCAGGAGGACCCATTCATTTAAAACATATGAGAACTCAGCAGTTATACGAATTTTCATTTTTCTATAACAGTGATATAGGTGGGCCCTTATAGTTCAAATTTAATGCCGTAATTCTACAATGAAGGCTTTTAACTGTCCTTATTACGCCTGAAGGGCTTTGATATTTTTACTGGACACTAGAAATACTATTTGTCTAAAGTTTACTGTGGTTGTTTCATATGAAAGTGAAACTAAATAGGAAAAAAAAAAAGGTGTTTATTTTTGGAGATATCCAGCAGCCATGGTTCTCAGCTTTGGTATAAATAAGGCATGATTTCTTCACCGTAGCAGCCTGTCTGAGCCTAGGAGCTCATTGCACTGCCTGGGAAGAAAAGGGTACAGTGAACTTTCCACATGGGCAGGATTTTAGGAATTATAAGCATAGGTATGGAACCCCAAAGACTTGATATAACTGTATGTCATCTGTTTGCTTCACAACCAAAAGATAGAGTCTTAGCCAACATGCTTTTACAGGAAAACAATTATTGAGAATGTAGGTACTTCCCAGCCTGCATATAGGTGCAGGTAAATCCTTAAGAGCAACTTAGGTGGCAATGTTGACTGGATGGTAGCAGTTTTGAATGCAAACTTAATCTGTGATCATTTATTTATGGAGCCTTTGTGTGTCTATTTTTGGGGCCCCAGGCTGGAGCGTAGCAATGGAAAGGAGCTTACAGGCTACTGGGGACTCCAAGGTAAACAGTAACAGTAGCGACTGGTGAATGCTTTGGTGAGGCACAAGCAAATCCCCGTGGAAGCCCAGAGATGGGGACAAGGAATATGACTTGGGAATGCTTCATAGAGGCGGTGACACTTGAGCTCTTGGAAGACAGGTAGAGTCCCCAGGCAGAGAAAAGGGGAGAGGGCTGAGAGTTCGGGGAGGCTGAGAAGACAAGGCCAAATGGTGGAGGAAGGACTTAGCTCCAAGTGGGTGAAAGGGAGTTGGGGAGGTAGAAACCGTGCAGCTGTTCTTTTTTTAAGGAATAGGAAGAGGACGGGGGAGGAGTGGGGCGGTAGTGTTGGGGATGGAGGGAGAGTGTCCCGGGGTTTTGTTTTAGTGTTGAAAGAGCTGATGTAAAGTGTCTCATGTGAGAGGACACTGGAGGTGCGTCGTGTGCACTGGGTGATCTGGAGCGATGTTGTTGGCACTGCGGGTCATTTCCTCATCTGTTTTTCTGTGCATCTGTTTTGGGTAGAGGCCCTCTGTCCCGTGGGAAACCATTGCTTGCTGGTGGTACGGGAGGAACCCATCTAAAGAGGATTTCTGCTCTGCCTTCCCTGAACATTTATTTCTCTGCTGTCACTTCCAGAGCCTCCCGAGAGTCTGCTTTGGCACCTCCAGCATTTGGCCTCTGCTCAGGTAGGCTCTTCCACGACAAATCAGGCCTTATTCCCTCTCCTTACTTGTGTTCCCACACCCCCCTCCTCCCCCCGCCCCCAACGCCAAACTGCTGCTCTGTGGCTACTCGGTAATTATTTCAAAGTCCGAGGGCATTATCTGCACATGTGCTGTGATGTTTTACGTTCTGGAGTATCTCCAGCCTCAGGCAAGATTGGGTCTGTCTGTCTGTCTCTCTTAACACGGACACCGTCAGCTACATATTGGTCCGGAAAGGTCACGTGGGCTGTGAAATCAGTGCTCTGGAAGCGTGGGCTACAGGACACGCAGCTGGTCAATCATAGCCTCAGTGGGCCTCCGTTCCTCGGCTGCTGACGTGCACTTACCTTTCTTGTCAAACCCTGAAGACTCTCGGCCTCTTGAAGGCTGAGCGCACTTCTTTGGTTTCTACATCCCAGACCAGTCATCTGCAGGCGTGGCCACTCTACACAAGAAGTGTCTCGATGAAGAAACTTTAAAAATCTGCACTTTAGTTTGTGGATTTTTTGTCAGCCTTGTTCATAGAAAGCATACCCGTTTTAACAGAGCCGGGCTGGATTTGAATTGTGTTGCCGTCCTAGAACTTCAGACTAGAAGCAAGCCCTCTGCTCTGTGCCTGCATGTAGTAGGTGCTCAGGAAATGCTGGTTCCCATCCTGGATGCCGGCCCGCGCGCTCTCCACGAGTCATTCTGGATTCCCCTCTGCCTTGCCCCCTGTGCATTGAGTTTTTGGATTCTGCTTCCTCAATGTGGCTCCTCCGTTACCTCCTCCTCATCATCACTACCCAGATCCTGGCGGCCCTCATTTTAAGTTTTTCAGGCTTCATTTACCTGGAGACATTTTCCGTTGTCTCCTTACCTGTCTCCCAGCTCTAGACTGGCCTTTCGGTCTGACCTTCCCTTTGCTGCCAGAGAGGTTGCTTGAACTTGCATCTCCTGATTGCTCTCCCCCTGCCCAGGACTCCTCTGTGGCTCCTCAGTGCCAGCCTTCGTTTGTTCACGCAATCAAATGTGTCTGTGTGCAGCCTGCCCCGAACCCAGAGCTGAGTAAAGCAGACGGGGCCTTGCGTGGACTGCACTTATCATTCATTCTTGGGGGGGACACACAGTATTAATCACAGAATCGCAAATAATTACGTAATCATGATTGAGGTCAGGGGAGTAATGGAGAAGGATGAGGTGCTGGGAGAGCGCCCCAGGGCTGGTCGTACAGGGGCCTGGGGAGAGGGCGGTGGTCAGAAGGTGCCCTGCCAGCTGGGCGCCAAAGCCCAGGCAGCGTTGCCAGACCTGAGGAATATCAACTGATTCTCATGGAATGAAGGTCGTTGGGTACCTGGCACTTGATTCCGCGTCTGACCTTGTCTCCTGTGCCCTGCATGTATTTTTGTCCTGGGCACACTGAGCTCTCTCGCATCTCTTCTGGAAAGCCTCTTTCCCATCACCATTTTCAGTTTTTAGTTCAAACACAAAAAAATCAATTTCTCTGAGCTCCCTCCTACGAACTCCCCAAGGCAGATTTAGGGGAAAGAACACCTCCTCAGCCACGTCTCTTCCAGAGAGATGGCAAACACCTTGAGGCAGGGACCCTCCCCGCGTGTCCAATAAGGTGTCTGGGGGCAGTTCGTTGGACCCGCTAAGGGTGAGGGTCCTGATATGACAGCAAGACAGGGAGCTAAGTATGCAGCCTCTCTCCGACGCCAGGCTCTCCTGGGAGGAAGGCCGGCTCAGACGCTGTGCAAAAGCGTTGTGTGGCTCTGGCCCCACGCACACCTTGCTCATTCATACCTGGTGTCCCGCGCAGCGCTCATAACAGCTGTCCAAGGTGGCAATTACCTTTGTCTCAGTGTTGGACGCTGGGTCCTGTGGTCCTCGCCTTGCTGCGCTCTGATGCTGTTCCTTATATTTGCTGAATAGATGAATTTTGATCATTTTGAAAGTGTACCTGTGTAGTGAGTTTAATAAGAAGAGTTGACTGTGTCGTGCTTTGAAATGCCGAATCTTAAGATGCCGCCCCGGTTCCTTTCTGGTGTCGTACCCCCGCTGTGCGCACGCACACCCTTTGGGCCCTGACGCTGTCTTCATATTGGATAGCGAGGGGAAGGTGTTTGAATACTGTATCTGCCTTTAATTAATATTCAGCCACATTGGTCCTTCTACATTAGAGAGATTATATTTTAGATAATGTAAGTTTTACAGTATACCTTATCTAAAGTTCATTGTGTCTATTTTTTCAATTGCAGTGGACATTCAATATTATATTAGTTTCAGATGTACAACATAGTGATTGGACGTTATTATGACTTACAAAGTGATCATCCTGATCAGTCTAGACCCCACCGGGCACCATACATAGCTGTTACTATATTATCGACTATATTCCCTGTGCTGTACTTTACATCCCAGTGAGATGATGTTCATTTGAGATCATGACACTCTACTAACAAATAATTTGTGGACAAATTATGGCACCAGAGTGTAATGTTTTCATGGATCTCTTTTTAAAATAGTCAAAGTAGTGTACAGCCTTCTAATGAATTTGTTTATTTGGACCCACGCAGAGCAGGTGAATTTGAAGGTGGCACAGGTTAGCTTTCTGCTTTACCGCCTTCCCTGCAGGCTGGACAGTTCTCTCTGGGTCAGCGCAGTGTGAGAACTACTGAGTTTAGAAGAGTATTTGATCTGCAGCTTTAGGGCTTGAGTTTATCCTTTGCTCTCTAATTTTGTGAGTAGTTGCTAATCCTCTTGTGAAGAAAAATCCTTTTTCAGAAACAAATGAAAGGAATGTGATTTGCAAAGTACACTAGAATTGCAGTTTCAGAGAGGATAAAGTTTTGAAGCAGAAAACAGAACCTCCCTAAATTTTCCCTGAATGACTTACTGTTGGCTGCTCTGTGCTACTGGGAAGGGATCTTGCTGTCACAAAATTGTATGCAAACTCTAGAAGTGGAGTTATTTGCAAGGTGCCACTCCATTTTTAGATGCCCAATAATTATCTCCACTTGTCTTTCAAATAGTTTTTTGGCTGTAACTTCCTTTCTCAACTTAACATGCAGTTTCTAATCATTTCAAAAAAAAGTGTCTAATGGAGTTATTTGTTAGTGATGTTTATTAGGTGAGTTTTCGGGGACGCCAGGGAATTTTCTCCTTTTAGTTACTTGCTGGGGCCGGGGACTGGCCTGGCTTGCCTGATTTGGGGAAACAACGGAAATGTCAAAGCAGATTTGCTCTAGTGCTGTCCTTGCCATGGGAGTTAGAAAGGCCTGGGTCAAAGGGAGGTGGCCTTACTGCTGGGAAGGGTGGGGCCTCTGAGCCAGGGGGACCTGGGGTCCAGCCCCACAGCTCTCTCCTGGTGTCGTGCGGGGGTGAAGGAAGTCCTTGGCCTCTGTGACCCTGCTTTCTCCTATGTGGAACGGGTGTGATACTTCCATTATATTGCTGGCTTTGAGGAATAAATGGCAGACCGGGGTAAAGAGTCTGCTACCTGTATAGATGCCCAGGAACGAAATTGTTTACTCTTTCTGAGACCTGCATTTAAACAAAACTGGAATTCTAAAATGAGCACTTGTGGCAGTTGAAGACATTTTTAAAATTTGAAAAGCGACCAAGTCAACTGTGGTTTTGCTGTAGGATTCATTTCTACATGAACCTATTAGAGTAGATTTTTAGGAGAGTAGGTGACAATGACAGATCTAGTAAATCAAAACAAATCAAAAGTTGATGTTTTATGGGACTTCAAAGTGAATAGTGAACTTTTTAATAGTTTAAAATTCCCCAATGCTCTTATAAGATGTTGCTTTCCTGCTAAGACCCCGAAGGGTTTTTCTCTTCTGTTGAGGCCTCATCTCAGCTCCAGGATGAGAAGCTGCTTCTGTGCATTGTTAGCTCTTTAATGACTTTAATTAACCTTAAATATAATTCAAAATAGACATGTGGTGAATTACTTGGTGTGGCAAGTCTCCCATCGGTTTTGAATAGGTGAGAGTTCATTACGGTTGCCTAAATGGTGAGCCATTAGGCATCTTTCAGGAGCAGCCTCCCGCGCCCTGCTAAACTCGTCCCGCTTGTACCCCAGCTCACAGCCTCTCCCAAACCAGCCTTCTCCTTCCGGAGTCAGCCAGCGGGAAGGCCTCTCTGTCGCCTGTCACCGCTGCCAGGAACCTTGTCCCGTGACTCCCCGCGCAGGGTGAGCACTCGCCTGCACGCCGCCTCCGTCCGGGGTCTGGCCCTAGCATCTTCTCTTCCTGTGGCTTATCTCGCCTAGGCTAACTTGTATACTAGTTATTTTCTTATGTGGAGATAACTTATTTGTCAGGGTCTGAAGGGCAGGGACTGTGTTGAGCCCTGCACAATTAGGGCTCAAATATTCGCTCGTGAAAATAGGCCCAGTGTTCTCATCCCTTCCTCAGCCTGAAGGAGTTGTGAACCTCGCTCCTCAAGGGAGGCAAAATATTTCACTGGACGCCTTGTTTATTAGGATTGCATACATAGGCTGTGGACATCTTTTCAGGGAAATTGGTTGACTTCATAGATCTCAGTGGCAAAGTAAATGGAATGAATAATTATGTACAGAAACTCAAAATTGTAATAACCTCCACCTCTCCTAGATTATAAAAGCGGTACACATTCACTGTGAAAAACTGGAAAAGGACAGAAAAACATAGAGGAAAAAAATTCTGTAATCTTGTCAATTTAACATTTGTATTTTTACTTATATGTGCAAATTATGTACTTTTTCACAAAAATTGGGCTCCTGTGCCATGAAGTTTGGTGCGTGAATTCTTTTACCTCGTATTTTATTGTGCAATTTCCCCATGAAATTAACTACCTCACAACACCGCAGCATCGTGGTGCTTCAGGCTTGCTGTGATTTAGCCATTTTGTTATTCTAAACCTCCAGGTCACTTCTGATTTTTTTGCATATATAAATATCACCGAGTGCTGTTGAATATAATACTCATCCATGTCTTTATTTCATTAAGACATAAATCTAGCAGTGTGAATTAAAAATCAAGCGCATTAACTATTCTAAGGTTCCCAGTTACCTGTACTGCCAAATTGCTTTTCAGAAAGGTAATTTGCAGTCCCAACAGTGTGAGAGAATCCCCTAATGATCCTGCCTTTTCAAAATCAATGAAATGGTAGGTGCCAGTATTTTTGTTTCTTTTTTTCTGCTCCAACATTTTTTTGACCATATCTTTTTTATTTTTTTTAAAAGAACTTATTTATTTTTAGAGAGAGCAGAAGGCAGGGACAAAAAGGAGAGAAACATCAATGTCTGCTTGCCTCTTATGCACCCCCTACTGGGGACCTGGCCCCAACTCAGACATGTGCCCTGACTGGGAATCGAACCGGCGATCCTTTGGTTCACAGGCCGGCACTCAATCCACTGGGCCTCACCAGCCAAGGCTTTTTTGACCATATCCTAATAACCATCTCCATTGCAGTATCAGCGGGGGTGGGGGCGGCAGAGCGGGGGGGGGGGTGGGGATGGTAGGCAGTTAAAATGGGTTTTGACACTGTTAATAAAAGCTTTGGAAGGGCGGTTATGATTATTAGTTTTAAATTTTATATAACTTCTAACTTAGGTTCAGTTTTTCTGGCAAAGCAGTAATTGTGGGTTGACTTTATTTAGTTTGGTGTAATTTCTGTGAGCCAGCTTTTGCTTAAGTCATTATTTGTTCTGTGAGCACTTTATACCGGGGCTGTCACCATACTAATTTTTTATGTGTCACTTCCCCTCAGGTAGACATAGTGACACACTTAGCATGTTCGTCACCATAATGAGAGGCCGCACCTTTTAGGGACGTGAACTTGTTGCCTGTGCTGCTGCTCCAGGCTCCGTGACTTGGATGTCTACCCCTTTATCTCTACACACACTAAGCACTGCTCTACATCAGTTAATAAATCGCCTGGCTCCTGCACACTTTCCTTGATACATCCTGGACTATGGCTTGTTTTACTCCGAGGAAATAAAGATTATTTAACCCACCACTTCACAGGATCGATCTGCATTGGCAACCCAGTCACCGCCTGGCGAGCAGGCTTTTCAGCCCGGCATCCTGGTCACCTCGGTGACCCCGAGTCCATTAAAATTGACTACTTAGAAGAAAACTTTCAGGACCTGCTTTCGTAGGCACGCTTTCCACTGGGAAATGCTTTCTTAGACATTTGGAGACGCAGTTTCGCCTGGTAGGACATTTCTCCTAATAAATAATTGACTTTAACCTTTTAATTTGTAGTTCCCATCTTAATTCTCTGCGGCAACTGCAGGCTGATACTCCTGGTAACCAAATGGTAGTGACCAACCAATCCAGTGGAAAACGGGGGGCTGACCTGGGACGTGTTTCTTCACCTTTGACGTATAGCGTATGTTGATACCTGCCAGGAGGAGGAGCGCTGTTCTAGAAATGGGGAGCATTGCTTGCTTTGGATAAAAAGAACAGCTGTTGCAACAGCCCGGCAGGGTTGTGTTTCTTCTGCCTGACCTGCCGGTAGTTGACATTCCCGGAGGATTTCGTCTTCTCCCCTGCTTTCTGCCTGCGCCATTTTGTTACAGGCGCCTTAGAACGTTGAGCACTAAGGCCAGGGTGGTGATGTCCATTGAGAGAGTGTTAGATCCACCACTCACGTTGGCTTTTCTATAAGCGTACAGTTTAGCCTGACATTTCCCCCGAGTTAGAATTACCGTTTTCATTTTTTTATATTTGTAGAAGATAACCAGATAATTTTCATGTGTAAGAAGTGTAAATACAGTTTTAGTGTAGCTCTTCAAAAACTCATCTTTTAGTTGTTTGTATTAGAGGGCACAGATTTTTTGTACAGCATGTAATTTGGGAGGTTTTCATACATTCGAGTATCAGTGGTCTGATTTTGTGGGGGAAATTATACTATCCCAAACCAAGCGGAGAGCGGCTAGCAGAGCGGCCTAGTTTCCTCTCCCCCACCGCTGGGGCTTCGTTCCCAGCGGTTACCCAGGCAGAGCCCTGCTGGTTCAGTGGGCCCTTCTGTCCTCATCTCTCCTGGGGAGGTGTGAGTAAGGGGACATCTGTTCGGTATACAGACCATGCTCTATGGTGACGATGTCAGTGAAAGGCTAAAAGTGAATTTTGACAAGAAGGACAGGGTGAATTCCAACATGACAGGAGGCTGGGCCGAGGCTGGTTCTACGACTGTTTTCAGCAGCTTGCACAATGCGTGTCGGCCACCCACACTTCCTTCCGCCTCTGCAGCCACACCCGCACCTGCGGCGGCTCCTGCTCTCTGAGCTGGGGCGAAGCAGCACCTCCTTGCAACAGTTCCACAGGTGTTAGGAAGGCTCTCGACTCCTTGGCCCGTTTCTCTGAGCTTTGGCCTCGGTCTCTGCATCTGTGAACAGGTGCTGAATTAAAAGACTGCTTTAGAATGACCCGATTTAGTGGTTTTTCTGCTTAAAAAGATGCCATCTTAGCTATGCAAGTCATTAAAAATATTGATTTAGTTTAATTTAGGGCATGAGAAAGTGGTTGTCATATAGAGGAAAAGTAGTTGCCACCCTTCACGTATAGCATCTTGGTTTTGTAAGGAAGCGTAGGTATAAAGGACATACACTCAAGTCTAAAGGGAGGCCTTCCTGAATGACATTGCACCTTTTGACTTCTGTGGTGATTTCCTGCATTCTCCAAATGTTCTAAAATGAACTTGTTTTGTGGGGAGAAGTACTTAAAAGGGGGTACAACTCTCCCCTCTGTGTCCACGTGTGCGTGCACGAGTGTATTCCATTTTATTTAAAAACTGTGCCTGGACATACATTATAACATAGAAGATCATTTGGAAGGCTGTTTACCAGACTGTTTAACAGAGGTTCTCCTAGAGGGTGGAATAATGGACGAGTTTTTACAATTCCCCTCTTTTTGCCAATCTGTATGTTCTTATTGTAATTTTTCCTACATCGCATAGGTATTTCATAATTGAAACAAAAATACTAAAAGGAAAATGATAGGGCAGGTGAAAAAACAGGCTACAAGATATAAAGTTATGTGCAGAACAGTCACACCTTTGTAAAACAAAATTAAGACCTTGTATTTGAATATTTGCAGAAAGACCACCAAAATATTAATAGTGCTGATCTCCAGTGGTAGGATTGTGGATGCCTCATTATTCTTCCTGCTTTCTAGTCCGTATTTTTGAGATTTTCCTTTAAGAATATATTACTTTGATGGGGGAAAATGTAAAGAAATTGTCCTTTTCTGAAATGATAGATTTGATAGGAAGTCATCGTAGTATCAACTTAAAAGCAAATACTTAGATTTTGTGCGGTTTTATTGAAAACTCATCAGACTTCGATGCTCAGCTAGAGACCTGATTTCCTTTATCAGTCTTACAGCACCCATTTTCAATTTAATACATTTTAGGAAAAATGAACAGCAGACTTTTTATGAAAGTCAAAGAGAGAACAGTGCAGTGAATTCATTCTCTGGAGGTAGAACAGGAGACTGAAAGAGCCCCCTTGGGTGAGGGAGAGGACTGTCGTCAGAACGGTGACCGTGGTGGTCTTGAGCCAATTCTTACTCGGTGCCAGTTTTTATGCTGAACACTTTAGTGATGCTAATGCATACAGTCCTCGCGGTAACCCAGGAGGTTCTGTTCTTTCTACAGTTTCTGATGAGGAGACTGACCGCACTGAGAGATCAGATTTTGCTCAGACCCCGTGGCTAGTGATGCGTGAGCTGGGATTCCAGGCCAGTCGCTGGCCTTCAGACACCGCCAAGCACACTGGCCCCTCACGCTGCCTTGCTGTAGAGACCGCAGATGAAGCAGGCCACCTAAGGAAGCAGGTGACGGGAGGAGCTACTGTAGCCCCCTTGGAGCTGAAGGACCAGGCGTGTCCCAGGGGTCACCTGCCACTAGACACAGGCCCGTGCCCGTGACTACGCTGGCGCCCCGTGTTGTCCTGTAGAACTGTCCCCGTCTCTCTTCTTCCCCTTGCTCCCAGCGGTAAACTTGTTTCCACATCCGCCTTTCCTTCTCTCGCCTTTCCCGTCTACTCTCCCCGGCCTCTTTGCCCTGCCTTTGCCCCAAGCTCATGTGAACTTGAACTTAATGATTGCCTGGACACTCACCTGTAGTGTATTGTGTACATTGCCTTTGGCCCAGTGTGCATGTGCAGGCCTCTCAGTTCCGTGGGTGCTATTTCAGTGTCCTGGGAAGGCCTGCCAGGCCACCTCAAGGCCATACACCCGCACTGGGCCATGAACTTAGACATTGGTGACCTGCTCACGTTCTCTTTGCCCGCAGTGGTCGCATTGTCTGAGCGGCCCCGCGGAAGGCCTGTGATGCCCAGGGGCGTTGTGTGTTCCCCAGCGGGGGCATCCTCATCGATTTCTGCAGGCCTGCTGGAGGGCTGGGTTGGAGGCGTTTCACGAGCCGGAGGGGCCGCTGTGGGTGGGCGGGGCTCGGAAGCAAAGCCGACCGACGGTGCGGGCAGGAGCAGCGCACCCGCTGTCTGTGGCAGCCAGAGCCCCGTGCCTGCCTTGTAGCTCTCAGTGACGGTTCTGGGAAATGCGGATTTGGTGCCTGCAACCCGGGAGGCGTTTGGAAAATAGCTGGTTTCCTGTTGTTCATTGTTATTACTTCTTCCTTCCGGTGAAATGATCTCTCTCACCTGTCTTCCTGGAACAGTCTCTGTATCTGTTCACTGTGAAATTCCTGTTGACCATAAAGATACCTGGAACAAGTTCCAGTTCAGTGAGGGGAGAAAGATAGTGGCATACGGGGTCACTAAAGACAAATAGGACATTTTTATATGTTTGGATCCAGCCTTCGGGTATATATTTTGACTTGAGACAAAGTTAAAACAAGTAGAACCAAACTAAAGTCTTTTTCTGTATTTCCTTTTAGGAGCAAGAAGCAACTAACACAACCGAGTAGTAACAAGGAGAGCCCAGTGTGCAGTTTGCAGGGTACGTGTGGGAGCCAGTACAAAGGTGCTTTGCTTTCTAATCCACGTCTTAACATTCGGCGCAGATTGGTTCACCGTGGTTTTCAGGCACTGCAAGGTCCTTAAATACCCCAAAAAAAGATTTAATTACTTCTTGTGCTAACTCAAAATACACTTGATAGATTAGATCGTGAACTAGTATTTAAAAAGATGCTCAGTAACCAGGATATTATTTTCTCCCAACCTTCAGTGAATTATATAATATCCTACTTTTAGGCATACAATTAGAGTTTCATAGACACTGAAAAAGGGATATGTGTACAAAAAGTGAATTCTTTGATAGTTTGATAGTGAGAGTGAGTAATCATTTCACTGCGGGGTAGTCTGTCATTATGAATTCAGAGATCCTATGAGACTCTTTCCCATGAACTTGCTAGGAGGTTAAAAATGAGTTTCTGGTGCCCTTTTGCTGGCACAGTCCTGGGGAGAGGCCTGTCAAAGTGTTAATAGTGATTACCCCTGGGTACCCTGAAAAAGACTTTTTTCCTTATCTCTTCATTCATTTATTACTTTTGTAATTAAAATTTTTTTAATTAATTAAGTTTCAATGTAAACAAACTCAGATTTATTTATAAAATGTGATTTATATTCTACTCTCCAGGAATACATCTAAAATAAAGTGATAGGATGGGGGGGAAAAGGAAAATGGCCTTGGAGGCAGCCTGAAGTTTGTTTTGAAAATTAAAGTTGCATTTGCAAACTTGTACAATAGACACATCGACTGCGATAGAATTTTAAGAATAATTACTGCCCTTATAATTAATTGCAGTTAAAGATTTAAAGATAGTTTTCTGCCCCCTGGAGTTAGCTTAGAGTTCTATTTTTGATAATTAAATGTGCTTAAATTAAATTTTTTCGTGTGGGAACTGCTGTCCAAATAAAGCAAGATCTTATTATTTGGAATTTCCTGTGAATCTTATTAAGATTATTGGCTCAGATGCCAAAGATAATACACAGTATAGAAGAAATTTGCTTTTTTCCCCAGTACATATGCATAGTCCTGGTTTACTATTTAAAAAGTCTTAATAGAAACAGAATTAATCATTCACTTTTGGTTTCTAAAATAAGTTTGCAGAAACAATGTAGCGCAGTGGTTAAAAGCACGAGTTCTGGTATCAGACAGCGCCGCTCTTTCACACACTGGTCCTGTAGCCTAGGCCAAGGCACCTTCTGCTCTGTGCCTCAGGGTGGGCTACTAAGCGGCCTCGGGGGGCGGCTGTGAGGGTTGAGGGAAGGTGCTGGAAACGTTTGTTTAGTACGTGCTAGTTATTTATTACTACAGTAATTACTAACACTTAAGAAACATATTGGTACCCATGTTACTGTTTATTTATATGTGTGTGTGTGTGTGTGTGTGTGTATGTATATATAGAGAGGTAGTCTATCTATTTTGACTTATTTTATTTATATATGTACACATATATATGAATATGTATGGAGAGAGTCCCAGATGTGTAGTTCATATCATTTCAATTTGCATGTGAGAATGACTTTATGCCTCTTTTATAGATGATCCTAAATGTAACATTGTTTAGAGGAGTCAAATGTTTACAAAGGGTGTGGGCTTTGAAATAAGAACTGTTTCAATTTATTTGCTTCAAGCTTTTTTGAAAAACATTTAAGTGAAGCTATCAAACGAAATGTTACAGAAACTTAATTTTGTTTCTCCTCTTATTCTGTAGATGTGCATGGCGCCCCTGAAAATGAATTCCTCGTTTTCACCGGACGCTCGTATATGAGAAGGTCCATTTCACACAGCCCACACATTCTCCTTCGGCGGGGCCAGCATGGCGGGGTTCAAGCGCGGGTATGACGGAAAGATCGCTGGCTTATACGACCTGGATAAAACCTTGGGCCGAGGGCACTTTGCAGTCGTTAAACTTGCCAGGCATGTCTTCACAGGTGAAAAAGTGGCAGTAAAAGTGATTGACAAGACAAAACTGGACACACTAGCCACTGGGCATCTGTTCCAAGAGGTGCGGTGCATGAAACTCGTGCAGCACCCCAACATCGTGCGCCTCTATGAAGTGATCGACACCCAGACCAAACTGTACCTCATCCTAGAACTCGGGGACGGGGGAGACATGTTCGATTACATAATGAAGCACGAGGAGGGGCTGAACGAAGACCTGGCCAAGAAGTACTTCGCGCAGGTTGTCCACGCCATCTCCTACTGCCATAAACTCCACGTGGTTCACAGGGACCTGAAGCCGGAGAACGTGGTCTTCTTCGAAAAACAAGGGCTCGTGAAGCTGACGGACTTCGGTTTCAGCAACAAGTTTCAGCCGGGGAAGAAGCTCACCACCAGCTGTGGGTCTCTTGCCTATTCCGCTCCAGAAATCCTGCTTGGCGACGAGTATGATGCCCCCGCAGTAGGTAGGTCACCGGCCGACTTGCATTCACTTGAATTCTCCTGGCTAGAGCGCAGGGGGTCGAATCAGCTGGCGTTTTTGTGTTTTGTTTTGTTTTTTTAATCTAAAAATAATTTCTAAGAGAATTTCTAGTAAATGCATCTTAATGAACAGTTTGGGTTTTATGAATGTCATATAGCCCTAAAGCTGGTGATTCGTTTATTTTAACCCTTTGACTGGAAAGTGTTTAAAGTATATTTGTCAGAACAAAGGAAAACAAGTAAGTAATTTCTTCTAGACCACTTATTATAATTTTTGTTAAGGGCTGAGCACTTTCCCAATCTTCTTAGGTTCTGCTAGTCATCTCCTCCCTTGAATACCTTTAATTGTTTATTAATTGTGACCCTGAGCAGAACGCTGGACCTCGCTGCTTCATTTCTTCACCCATAAAAATAGAGTCAGATCACATACAGGTACTGAGTTACCATGTATCAAGTTAGGCCGCGTGTTGTGGAAAATAAAGGGTCCTTGCAAAGCTCCTGGAAGCCAGGGATCCCCCTGTAGATATTCCTGAGATGTGTAGGGCTGGTTTTTACTTTATTTTCAGTAACAACACCTGATTGTGGCCTGGGAAGGAGAGTTGCTATGGTAGAAACACACTGCATTTTTTTCAGTGTTCAAATGCATGCTCTCAAATGTCAGTTTTATACTCTATTTTTAAACATAAACATAGTTCTAAAACCAGGTGATAAGCCAAAAATTATCCTATGAGCATTTAGTCTTCACTATGTTAGAAGAATGTACTTGTATTTATCTTAGAACAGTGATTTTTTTCCCCCTAGTTCCATAACGCCTGAAGTTCTGATGAAGGCTATGAACACATCTTAAAATTGTGTTCTTAAGCATCTTTAATTATGATTCTCTCTCACCCAACACATGAGCATCTCAAAATCCAGTGTGAATTTAAAAATTACTGTCTGGCCCATCTGGAAAGAAATGCCCCATCTTGTGAAAAAGTAGATTAGGAAGACAAACTGAGCCATTCTGGACTATCAATGCATATGCAGCTTATGGGTGGTATTGTAGGGTATGCGAGTTTTTGGAAATCTGGGCATATTCAAGCCAAGAGCTATGGTTAAACTAGAAGCCGCATTAACGTACCTAAGGCGGTTGTTTCTTGCTCCGCCATGGCCCTGTGATCGAGTACCTCAGCTCCTGTAAGAGTCTTCTGCCGAAAGAACTGATTGCAGCGGTAGGTGTATAATATGTGCGATACCTAAAGATTCTCTCTGAAAATTTTTTAAAGGATTGCTCCTTCCTGAACAGATAGTCCGACTTAAGCCACAATACCTTTATGCTCGAACTTTGAAGTAGTCCTGCAGGACGCCAAGGAATCAGAGAGTTCCCCTTTGGTTTATATAAACCCGCTGTTAAGATTTATGTCACAAGTCAGACACCCCTTGCTTTAATTTCAGATTTCTTCCAGAAAAGCTGTTAATGCTCTTGCTTTCACGGCGCTTCCCAAGCTGCCCCAAGTTGGAGCGTGTGTGGTTTCACGTCCCTCCTCAGAGTAGCTCTTAGGTAGGGACAGGCGTCCTGGGAGCGCTCAGTGCTCCTGGCTCGGCCCTGCTCCCCCGAGTCAGCCCGGCTGCCCTGTGTGTGACTCATGCTGCCGCCCTTTGCCGGGGGACACACAGGCCCTGACGGGCTCTGGGTTAGGAGACCTTAGGGGTGCGCACAGTGTCAGGTCTGAGCGCAAGTGCACGACTCTACACTCTCAGGGAGGGTTGGCGCCTCTTCTCCGCGTAGGGGAGGAACGTGGGTCGCTAAATTTAATGTAGTGCCCTGTTTGTTTCATTTTAAAAGGTAAATGTAAAACCTGCCTGCACGGTAGGTGCCCAGCAGAAACGGCACAGCCAGCTCGGGTCCAGGCGTGTCGCACGGGCCGCATCCGGTTGTCGATGACTGGGAAACGGGCGTGGTGCACACCCTCCGAACCCAGGCACCAGCGGCAAGGTCGCGGGCTGTGAAAGGCCTTTTACGGAGTGTCGTGTCTTCCTTTGTCCGATAGAACCAAAAGATAGACATCCTCTCCTAAACTTTGTGACATTTCACGTGCCTGTGAGAACAGACATTTGTTGCAGAAATCAGAGTTTGTCGATCTGGCGTGAATTCTCTAAATAGAAGCACTTTATTCAGTGTTAGCGCTGTGTTCACATGGCGCGGGTTTGTGAGGTGACTGCTGTATGATGATGTATTTGGGAGGCAGGTAGCAGAGCTTCTGTGCCTTCAGTAAAGCCTTTTTGGTTTTATAAATAAGCTGCTATTGAATTTAATATGTGTAATAAAGATTCTTAAGCACGAAATGTTACGGGTGGAATACTCTATAGGCACCATAAAGGGGGTTATTTCAGGCTAACTCAATCATTGCTTTTTCAAGGAGAGGCCTGAAAAATGTGGTAGAGATGATTTATGTGTTTTTGATGTGTTCCCTAATGCATTTTTAGTTCTGTTGCTTATTGTTCTCACTGTGTTATAGGGCCCAGATCCAATGAAATATATGTTGAGACTATTTTGAAAAGTATAATTTACTGTACTAGGGGTATGGGAAGTTTTAAACAAGTGCTTCTCAACTCACCGCCCATCAATTTCAACAAAATTGATTAAAGCAAGAACACACTGCCCTGACTGGTGGGGCTCAGTGGGTTGGCGTCGTTTGATTTCTGGTCAGGCCACAATCTTGGGTTGCAGGTTCAGTCCCCACCCTGGGCGCATATGAGAGGCAACCCGTCGCTGTTTCTCTCCCCCCACCCCGCTCCCACTCTCTAAAAACAAACAAACAAAATCTTCAAAACAAAACACGCAGACCTGCCTGGGCCCCACCCCTAGAGATTCTCTGTCGTCTTGGGTGAGGCCAACACTCAAAGCTTCCCTGGTGGATTGCATCCAGCCCTACCTGCTGCTGATGTAAACCCACGAATTCAAATGTTTTTAGTTATTAGAGGGGAAAAAAAGATTCCCAACGTTTTAATTGTAATGTTCTTTAAAGAAAAAGTGTTAGGGGAAAAAATTTTAAAAAGCTTCAAAAAGCGAACCAGAAAGTACATTTGTTTGCTGAAGCTGATGGTCGAGCTTAGTGCCCCCCCCCTCCAGCCCTTCTCCCTCTGGCAGTCACTCCCTGTGCTTATTTAGCAAGTGAAAAACCATTTCAGGGCCTTTGGGATTGTCCTGATGCTATTGCAGTTCCTGGAACTCCAAGCTAGATACCCCTCAGGGCCCTGTCCTGGCCTCTTCCCCGAGCAGCCCAGACTGTCCTGCCTTCCTCCTCCCACTGCCGTCTGTCCCCCGAGCTCTGGCCACAGCCCCCCGCCTCGGGCAGGGCTGCCTCCCCCGCCTCCAGAATCCCGTTCTCCGTCCGGATTTCGAGCAGGGCTGCGGTTTCTGAGGGCTCTCACTGCTGCTGAGTGCACAGGGCTTGGGTGTAAGTGCACCTCTCATCCTGCCTCCCAGACTCTGTGGGGCGACAGAGGTGTGCAGGGCTCATAACTGGAGGTCCTCTTTGAATACAAACCCAAAGATACTTTTCATCTACTTTTCAGACTGGACCCCAAGCCAGGAGTCGGGTTTTTCTTCATCTGAGGAGGTAGAAACCGGGCTGAAGGGCTCGCCAGTGTGTATCTTAGAAAGAAGAGAAGGGAGGGATTTCATTGGAAGCGCGTCTCTCTTGCCTCTGGTTCCTGCTGCCGCAGTGATCGGATGGCCACAGCTGCAGGTGACAGCGGGCCCTGGGTCCCCAGACTGAGGTGACAGTTTGAGCTGGCCGCCTTTCATAAAATAGTGCTCATCGGTTCCGCTGCTCTGCTCCCTCTGGTCTGTCCGTGCCACCCCTCTGTTGCAGAGCGATTTCAGCCAGCCCACGCTGGAGCCGTCCGGGGGCCGGGCGGTGAGGCCCTCAAGGTTGCTTCCCCGTGGCTCCCGACTTCTCTCTCCCACCGCCTCCTGTGGCTTGCTGGGCCCCAGCCGCGCTGCCTCCGGGCGGTCAGTCACACTGGCAGGCTCTGGCCCCTTCCACCGCCCCTCCCTCGTCCCCACCCCTCCTGGGGCCTGACCGCTCCTGTGCTGGGGGAGTGCCCCGCCCTGCCGTTCTCCTGCCCCAGGGGACTCTGTTATCTCCTTAGAACGGAGGTGGTAATGGTTCCTGCCTGCTGGGTCGTTGCACGGGTTAGGTGGGTGAGTGGTCCGTGGGACATGCTCATTCCTGGGCAGGGGCATCAGCCCGCAGGTGCCCGCCGGGCTGCCGCACGGTCCCAGCGCGCCCTCTGGGAGAGCTCACAGGATGAGTCTTGGCTCTGGGGTGCAGCCGCTGTCCCGGGGGCCTCAGGGTCTTCTGAGGTTCTGCCTTCCCCTTCGCCAGTTCGTGCTCAGGAGGATTTCTGCGGTGCTGGCTGCCTTGGGAAGGCCGGGAGGAAGGGCAGTCCTGGGACCTTTGCTCACGTGTTTTTCTCCCTCACGACTTTAGTTGTTTATCTTTCAGTGTTAGGTTATTTGTATTTAGGGACTAGGTTAACTTCTAAAATAGGCACTTTTCTGAGTGTGTGTTAAATGTTAGGTAGAAGGAAAAAATGAAAGTCCTGGTGTTTATTTGACACCTGGTTAGTTCCTGGATCTTCAGAAGATCTTTTTGAACCACCCCAAAGAGTCACTATTTTAATACAGGAAAACAGGGAGGGACCGAAACCACTTCCCTTCCCCTCAGATGGCTGCATAGGAAACCCCTGGGGAGCAGACCGCTTCGCGCCTGCTTGGGTCTTTAATGGGGGGTGGGGGGCTGGTGTGTGCGTGTGTGTGTGTGTGTGTGTGTGTTTCTGTTTCTGTTTCTGTTTCCGTTTCTGTGGGGGGTGGGGCGGTGCGGGCAAAACATAAACCTGTTGAAGAAAGTCTAGTTTGCAGAACAGAAAGTCAGTAGTTAGAGCGAATGTTTGCGCAGCAAACCTGGATTCCTGTTAGTCGGCATACACGCTGCTG